GAACATAAAATAAACTGAGAAATAGATTTATCTACAATTTAATAAGGTACCTAGCCTCATATTACTTTCCTTGTTTTACACAATGATTTGTAAATAAATTCTTAAGCATTTGCCTGAAGCACAAGTGGACAGTCGTTTAAGTTGGGATCAAAGACAGACAGAGGATGTGATGAGCTCTCAGAAAACACAGGCTTCAGAAATCATTGCTTGGGCAAATAATTACATAGCAAGGCAGCTAAAATTACACAGTGCTGTTCAAGGTGCAGGCAGTACCTTGCAAAGCATCTCTAGATAAAAATAAGAGCCACTTCCATGGTCTTCAAACATGTTCCATGAGGTTTATGAAAGAATTTAAGTTAAAATATTTTATTTTAAAATGACAAGTTATTATAACCATTCTTAATTTCTGGATTAAAAAAAGAAGCCTTTTATATATATAAACATTTATTTCAAACGTAATATTTTAAATGTAATTATTTTAAAGTATTCTAAAATTACAAAGAAAAATAGAAAATCAAAAGCAGGTATAATCCCAATACCCTGTGATAATCACTGCCAACATTTTGGTGTATATAATTTGAAGCTTTTATATATTTTTCTCACTAGATAATATAAAAAAATACCTTTTTAAGTCAATATAATTTAATACTGCAATTTTTTTCAATGGAATAGTACTCGATTTTGTAGATTATCATAATTTATTTAAACAAATTCTGCTGTTCAACATTAGGATGCTTCCAACTTTTCCTATAGTGAACATTTTACTAATACATATATATATATAACTTTAAGCATATCTTTTATTATTTCCTCAGGGTAAATATTAAGAAATAAAGTTTGTTAAATTTTTATCAAAATTAAGAACTCCTGCTTTTTGAAAGAAACTGTTAAGAGAATGAAAAGATAAGCCGTAGACTGGGGAAAATATGTGCAAATCATCTATCTGCTAATGGACTTGTATCAAGAAATCTATACATATATCCATCCCACAAAATTCAGTAATAAACCAAACAGCTCAGTAAAATATGGAGGAAATATCTGAACAGATACTTCACCAAGAAGATATGCAGAGACAAATGAGCACACTTAAATATCATTAGGTATAAGGAAAATGTAAATTAAAGCTACAATGAAACAATTTTTGAAAATGTAAACGAATGGGATAAAAAGCAGATAGCTGGGGATTGGTGGGACAGGATTGGCGGGCCAGGATTGGCAAGAGGGAATGACAACAAAGGGGCATTAGAAAAATTTTATACATCAAAAAAAAGCAGTAAAAAATTGAAGTTTACAAATAAAAAAAAA